CAAGAGTACTAAACATAAAAATGCTGCATTATAACTGATTCCTCAAAGTATTCTTCCTTATCATCCTTTCAGATGCAGAAGTATGAAAAGCTGGAGAAAATTGGAGAAGGTAAGACGCTCTATTCTAGTCCTCAACAGCTTGGTGTATTTACTTTATTTGATTTAGAATCAGCAAGGTTCCCTAGGGAATCACTGAGATGTCTATAAGCCAGTGCTAAGTTTTTATCAGCAGTTGTGGGAATAAAACTCCTCAAATCTTCCAACATTTAAATTGTAATTCATAAATGTGATACAAGTGACTCCTATTGAGTTTGGAAGTAGTTCATGAAACCTATGCTACTTATATTTCAGAGTGTTTGTTTGTGTGTGTGTCTGTCCTTTATAAACAGCCATACCTCCGATCCCAGTCTGACCAAACTTTGCTTGGCTTCCCCATTTGGTCTGGGGATGGTCATAGCTTAGGTGGTGTTTCAAAATTCAGACCTTTAGGGGTATCAGTGGCTAGTATGATATAAATCAAGTGTACAAAATACATTTTGTATTCATAAATTTACTCGTCAGCCATGTGACAGTGATGATAGCGATTACATTAAATGAAAGTACTCTGAGATGAGATAGAGACTGGCATCGGAAGTCGATCTGCTGCAATCTAGAAGGCGATTTCCTAGGCTATTTCTCCATAATCGAGTCATTTCTTGGGAGCTCATGGTTTCTTGATGGCAGCAATTTTTTTAGTTCTATCCTAGGAAAATCTGACTTATTCTGCGAAGTTTGATAAGTTGCTCTGGGATTGTGAAAGAGGTTTGCAGAAACTGCCTTTTATATTACTAAACCATACAAGCAATTATTTGCGAACATGAGTATTGATATAATTTTAAATTTTATCTTCACATTCGATCTACAATTTAACGACTGAAACCCCACAAAGCCGCTACTAGGAACCAGGACATATAAGTTCGCTTATCCTTTGAAAACAACAGCCACAAACGTGAAAATCTTTAAATTCAGGATGGTTTTCGATGAATGCCATATACCTTGCTTCTGTTCCATTCGGTAGGGTCTTGCACTTCGTCAGTTTGGACGTGTGCTTCTCCCGTTTGCAATCGTATCAATGCTTGCGTTTAAATTCATTTATTATAGGAAAATGTGGTATTTTTTATATTTTATGCTTTGGTGTGACCGAAGGGCGCAAAATTGAAGGCATTGGCCGATACGAAGAGTAGACCGAAACCTTTCCAACAATAAGGAAAAAAATTATTCCTTGAACGATATCTACTATAAGAATCTAAACAGAAAAGTGGGGTCGAGGTTTTATCGCCAACTAGCAGAGGTGCCCGGCGTTGCACTGGTAAATATTGTATACGTCCCATATTTTAGGGTTTTATATTGTTTTAATGCCTCTTTGGCAAACTTGGCTTGAAATTGTTTGAAATATGTAGCTTTTCCCACACAACCAATTGCAAAATTCCAGTAGTGAGCTACACGTTACAACTTAAAATTTTTTTAATGAGCTCCCAAAATGTTGACTCCTTGGGGGGTCTGTATTAGTGAATCGGCCTAATCTGCACTAAATAAGGTACCGCGGGGGGTCTGAATTTTGAAACGCCACCTAGCCTATGACCATCCCCGGACCAAATGAGGAAGCCATGCAAAGTTTGGTCGGACTAGGATCAGAGGCGTGACCGTGCAGAAAGGACAGACACACACACACAAACACTCTGAAATATAATAGTATAGATATTCAATACGTTTTGGATGTGCGTCGAGAAGTGAATCGGTGAGGCGAGAGAACTGCCCTTTGGAAAGCCGTGAAAATTGGGCATTCTGAGTCGGGAGTGGCAGAAGTTGCCCCCGCGTAAAAATTCGATTATGACGCCCCCTTCCCCGGCAATGGAAACCCGGACTTTTGACAAATGAATTCCCCCTGTGTACACAGAAGATATAGGCCTGCATCTAATGGTCAAGGGAGGAAGAAAAACCATTAATCACGCCCATCATCGGCGATGAAAGGAATAGAATATGCCCCATCTCACGAGTGTTTTTCCGATACGAGGTCGAGGATGCCCCAAATCTCTCCAGTTTTCCAAAGAGGTTTTCTTAGGGTTTCACGCGAAAGCCGGGAGTGGAATTTTCCGGTTCTTCCCCGAACAAAAGCCGTAGGACACCCCTTTTTGTGTCAGCCGATCCATCATTCCCCTCCCCTCCTTGGAGGGGGGAGAACAGGGGGAATCTTTATAAATAGAGATGGCATGGATTGATTTCTGGTTTTTCGTTTTTGAATGGGGGGGAAGAAGGGAGGAAGACTCCTCGATCCCCCTTTGACAGTCGAATCCCCCTGGGGGTAGACGACCTGCATTTTCTCGCCCGCAGAAACCAACAGATGGTGTCTCCCCCAAACCGCAGACTTGATAAATCGAACGAAGAACAAAAAAATAAGTTCTTTGTTATCTCTGATCCTTTCCGGATTCGACGAGTCTCGAACGACATTCGTAAAAGAGAAAATCTCCCGTCACTCGAAGAAAGTAAGTCGATTCGTCAACGGTTGGAGAGGGGGGAAAGGGCTGTAATAAGGGTTTGTAGGATAAGAAAAAATTTGTTATCGGGCTCGGCCGAGCAGGAGTTTTGGACAGGAAACGGGTCGAAAATTAAGACAACAAGGGGAATGCAGAGATAATATCCCTCCATTTCCGTCTCCTCGTATGATAATTCCTCGACTCCCTCTATAATTATGAGGGAGAGTCGGAAATTACGAGGACGCTAAAATTTTGAGCCGTTCGCTATGGGAACGACGCGAATCTCCGGATATTTCCACCCTTCTTTCCCCCTTGATTGCCTCGTTCCCGAGCAAATACTCGCCGATATTGGGTCCACGTTTTATGGGCAAACACCGGGGCTTTATTAGCACGTGTCGGAATCCCCAGGACGTATATCAAAGGGGATGTTAACAGGTGAACAAATGAGCCTTGGATTTATGCTCATACGTGTAGAGACCCCCCTCGAAGAACCCGGGTCGTACATCAAAAATCCTAATGTTTGCAGCGATCGGCGGGATGAGCCGATTCCGTTGCTAATGAGCATCGTTCATGAAAATTCACCGACCCCATATCTTTCGTCGAGATGTATGCGGAATGAGGAAGTTGGACGGGCTACGGGGTCATACACCCATCACAGAAAGTCGGGAGAGAGAGAGAGAGGCAATGCAATAATATATATCGGTCCAGGGTTAGATTGACCATTAAAAGCGGGGAGGGAAATGGACTTTCCTGGGCTCGGATTCCCCTTCCTCCCATAACACGCGTGCAATATCCCCGGAAAAGCTGGAAGAGAAATGGAAGAGCCATGTATTGGATTCGGAAGGCGGAATCTGCTCCAAATGGCATGCATCGGCCCTGATAGGAGTACCATTGTGGAAGAGGGATTCCCCCCCCCCCATATGCCTGGCCCACATGGACGATGGAAGAAGACCGATGCGTCCATCCGAGGCTCTTCGTGTGGAGCCCACCGCGACTTCATCGCATTTCAGAGACACTTATCGCATGATCCCACCGCCTCTTGGGGTCAGGTTTCATTCAGACATTTTTATTAGGAGTTGGATCGAGCCTGGAATCGTGAATGGAAAACTAAAGAGAGCTCCTGGCAGTTTTTTTTTCCTCCTTTTTGGGGCGAGAAAAGGGTGGTCCGCATTGTGGCATGCCCGAGCTCGTTATCCATCATTCTCCAGCAGCCCTTCGGGGGCTTCTGGAACGGAAAATAATAGCATAATATAATAATTTCTCTCAGCATCTTTTCGCCGACGGGGGCCAGAGGTGCCTCATTGCACCTGTGCTCTCCTAAGACCGTCCCATGCAGGAATAATGATGATGTGGCCACACTTGACTGCCCGTATTTCCCTCTCCGCCTGACGCCTGCGGTTAAGAGGTGACCGACACCACTCCTCTCATACCAGACCTGTTTTTTTTTCCCTCCCTGCCCGCTGCCAAATGTTTTACCGATTTTTTAAAATTTTATTTCACATTGCGTGCTTACTAAGCGTTGCTTAATTTTGTTTCTTGCTATTCAGCTAGAAACAAGATTTATTTCATCTTCTTTGGTTGCAATTGAACAATAATCTTTATTTCTTAGTTTTTGATGTGGATTAGTGTTGCTTTTGCAGTAAAAAGACGAGTAGCTGGACTTAGGACCATAAATCTGGTCTGGGCGTGGATCGGATGGATCTTCTTCGGCTCTCCTCATGGATAATGAGCTCCCCTTTAAGTTATTATCCCTTGATCGTAATTTTGAAAAGGTGTGAGGTGGCCTCTGTTCCCCCTTGTCCCCCGGGGGTTCCCCATAGTTGCCCCCCCGCCGAAGACAATCTCGCGGAGCATCCCCCTTCACACAATAACGCCCCACCGGGTATCCCATTACAGAGTTTTAGGGGCGAAAAAAACGAGGGGGAGGGGAAGAAAAGGGTGGGCTACACAACCAAGGAATCTCTATCTCCCTCGAGAGGAATAAAGAGATCTTCCATCCAGGCTCAAATTTCGCACGCGACGGGGGCCAGTTAGGGGCAGGTGTGCCCTCTGTTTTCCACCACACGCCTTCCCAATTCAGGGACACAATACAGTAGTCGAAATTCTAATTCTTCACATGTAAAAATTCTTCAGATGTACTTGACAATACTTAACGAGACCGAGAGACGATTCTTTGGATATTCCGGAAGTGACGTCTCGCTGGTCTAGTCTGGTCGTCCTTTTCGATGACTGTTTATATGTTTCTGTCATGTGTTGGTATTTCCGTTGGGAACATCTGCTGCGCTCAAAGATGTTGATTCCTGCAGCAATGTTTTTTTTTTTCCCCTGTCTGCCCTCAATTGGCGATCGTTGGGTGGGATGGCACATGCTCTTCTGCAGAACCGATTAATCAACCGGCTGGTATGAGATGACACCCACGGCTAATGAATGGCTTGCATGCCTCCATAACCCTCTCGGTTTTTCTCCTTCCTCCCTCCTTCGCCTGCTCTTGCGCTGCTCCACTGCCTTAAGAAATTCTTAAAGCTGTGGATCGGTTCGATAGCAGAATTGATTAGATCAAGCGAATCGCTACCAACGATTTAATTGGGAGTCCTTCTGGAACTCGACTGGAATCTGTTTTGAGGTCTTGTTATCTATAGTTAATTGAGTTTTCTTCTTTTTTTCTTCACCATCATGCGAATGCTGAGTTGTTTGCGTCGAAGTTGTATTCGACTGCTTTTTGGTATGCATATGGTGTATCTTTTAGGGGGGTCATAACGCTCGAGTCCCTTCTCATACCTGAAGTTCGTCTGAACAGATTCCTTCTCGAAGTAAAGGGTCAAAAGGCGGCTTGTGAAAGCCTGGAAGTAATCGTCTGTCAAGGGGATATGTTGCATTGCCCATTAGAGACGGGACGGTGTCTATAAATCCTGTTTCCCCAGTCCGAGTTCCCAGGATGCCTCGGCTTACGCAGTGCATGAATCAAAGGAAAAAGAAGAGGAAAGGTCGCGAGAGAATCCGCGTAAATCACCCGAGAGGAGACGCTGTTCTACAAGATGTAAGAAGAAGGCCACCAAGGCCTGCCAAGACCCACCTATCTAAATCATCCTGATGTGCCCGGTTCAAGAATTTCTATTGTCTCTTACGTGTGGAACTCCGTTTCCCATATATGGCTTTTAAAAAAAAGTTACCCCGGCGACGAATCCTAGATAAATCTGTAAGACTCTGAAACTCTGTACTAATTTGTGAAACCTCGTTTAAATTAAAATGGTTACGTTTCAATAGCATTTTCAAGTAACTTAGTTTTAAAGTTTGCTTGAAATTTAATTTTTTCACATTTATTTAGTAGAACTTAGTGTAGGCGAAATCGACTTCCCGGAAAGCATAATGCATTCATGAATCCTAAGGTAATGGTGCCGGTAATATTGCCCGTATTAGTTGGGCGTTGACACACCCTTTGCCAGGGACGGGGGTTATTCATCGACTAGGGATTGCAATCAGGTTCCGGAGTGTGTGGATAATGCATACCTTCCCCTGTTTGGCTCCCCGGGCATGCCCACATGTATTATTTTCGTCGGTCTGCTTGACGGCGGCCATCGATTCCTTGCAAGATGCCCTCCAGCTCGAGAAACAATTAGCTCAAAACGCCTGTCGGAAATCACGAAAGAAGAGGAGATCTCAGGCGTGGAAGTAAATCTGTCAATCAAGTATTCCTCCTGTTTTTTTTTTCTTTTATTCTTTTCCTTCCGCCGATGGATGTATCGATTAACGGATCTACCATGTCTCCTGTGACAGGTCTTCACGCTGGAAAATTCCGTTATTGGCCCCACAGCTGCGCTCTAACATCTTATTTTGAGCCGGTATGGAAGGGAAATTGCGAGATGTTTCGCGTATGAACAGGGCTGAATACCCTGCACGATCACGGATTCCAAGATTTTTTTTATCGAAAGACCTGAGTAAGGTCGGAAGGTAGAAGTAATGATTCATTAAGGCATTAGAGGAAAGTCAATTGAAGAATGACTTGGTGGAATTCATTTCCGATGAAATCCAATTTCTAATAGGCTGATAATACGTTCCGACCGTCCCCACGCGAAAATTCATTTTATGAATCGTTTATAACCACCGTGATGGAGAGAAAACCATGTACACACTTCTGAGTATGAAAGCTAATGGCCATCCAATTTCACGGGAGACCGGAGGGAATCATTGTTTACCCAGCGTGCTCCACCCTTCGGGAATATGTTTGTAGAGATTGGGCAAATTTCTTTTGGTCCCTCTGAGACTCGGGTTTATGGAAGTCCTCCAGACATGGCATCACGTTCAAGGAGAAGGGAAAAACGTGTTCCCGTCCACAAACACTGAGGGTTCCCCCGACTGTAAACAAACGTCTAATTGGATTATACGGCACCGGCGTGCGATAAGACTCCTAGGTCCAGATTTTTATTTCCCCTTACCGCACTCGACCGTCTGGGGTCCCTTAATCTCATGCAAACGTTGGAGTGGCCGTGACTGAATTTCAAGGACGATTTCCCCCTCTTTAATTTGCCCCGTCGGTCGTGTTGGGCGGAGACCGTGAAGGATTCACGTTTTCGTTCTCCGACAGACCAAGGCCCTCGTGCCTCGTTGCCTCCAGAGTTCTTTCCGACAACGTCGGGACCGGCATTCGAAATGAAGCGACGAATTCCTGTACGCTGCTCCGGGGGACTTCCATCCTCGAGTCTAATGACAGAGGTCATTTCGATCGCATTCTGGGGATGGGAGAAGAGCGGGACGAGCAGCCTCTATTTGGAACGACGGGAGACCGTACACCATGACGATGACCGATCGGGAAATAAATCAGTCGTATTGAACCCATTATGTCGAGGTATGTCGCGCACGCAAGGCATGATGCTCGCGTCCAAGTGTAATAGACGCTCTCAATACCTGGAGGTATTGAGGAGGTTCTATAGAAAGAAGTCAGGGAAATTCCAAACGAAGACCGGATATTTGAAAGATTGGAAAGCGGCATTGGCAGCCAAAGGAGATTTCTAGCCCCGTGATGACGTCAGCAGCTTTATTTTGACTCACTGCTCGGATCATTCAGAGATCCTGGATTCGTCATTCGAATAGCAATAGTTCTCAGATCCACTCCGCGAATCGGTTCTTCTTCCCTCTTCCAAGACGCAATGTCGGATGAGAGAGAGAGAGTCTTAAATCCTGTCGAAATCAGACCGTTTCTTGGGTCATAGACGATAAGTCTCTCGAGGATTGTGCAATCAAGTGCAAGAGGAGATTGTCTCCCGAGCAGAGATTGCCCTCTCGGATGTGGTTTTCCCGTCGAAGAGAAGAGTGATAGAGGTTAGGCAGCAGGCCACAGGTTCCTTTTGTCGAGACGACGACAGAGGGCTTCGCGGTTTTTACGACCCTCCCCCAAAGATGAGTTCTCCCCTCCCCCCAATAGTCGCAATAAAAGCGAGGAAATGGGTTTCCACTCTCCCCTTGTACCTTCCCATTTTATACACTCATGTCCTCCCATTGTCGTGCCGATCCGGACTTGATAAGCACTTTTCCAGTTTATTGAGGGGTTGTACACAGCAGAATCCGCCATCTTTCACGACTCCTCTGTCGTTTCTTTTCCGCGCGTCGATGACTGGGGCAGATATGATATCGACAGCAGTGACAGATGCCGTCTTTGCGTGACTCACGGATCGTACAGACGGACATGGATGCCCTCGCATTTTCCTCCCCAAGGAGTATCGATGCCCCGAGAACTTCTCCGCCCCGGTTACTGCAAAATTCATGAGCAACGTCTATATGTGCCAAGGAATCTGTCCGAGTTCGTGTTCGATGCTTCCCGCACCTTTCCTCCACAAAGGAGCCTTCCTTCAAGTCATTAGCTATTCCCGGGGAATATGATTAGTCTGGAAAGAAGAGAGAGCGAGAGGAAAAAGAAAGGGGGTTCTGTTTGCATGGGCGCCATTCGTTCTTTGTTGTTGGCCAAACAGACGTGCATTGAGTGTGTGTATGTTTTTTCTTTGATATACGATCCCATGCCAGGGCCCTCCGTGCAGGCTAATTAATAACGGGTGAAAATACCTGCCCAGTCTAGGGGTAATCAGAAGCAATTACAGGGCCAGAAATGAAGATCTATGGCCCTATCATGTGCCCCGGCCACCTGTCTTTTCTTCCTCCATCTCCGTAACTGGATAACGAGGAGGATGAAGGAGACCCTGTCTATGTGTAACGAGGTGTTCCCTCAAGGGATTTTTGGCATTGGGTTTCGAGCACGCAAAGGAATGGAGAATGAGGACTTCGTGATCAGATCACGGTCATTAACGCTCTCACGAGGTCGTTATTAGAAAACGTACGTGATGGTCTGACTGCCCGAAGTGTGTTCCTCTACCTTGTGGCCTTCACGGGCACACGTTGTTGAATGGCAAGTTTTTGGAGTGCTGCCAATGACTCGGAATATTTCAAAATTTGTTATTGTTTTCATACGGAATTTTTTCCCTTCTTGATTTGCATCAATATATGAGCGTGAGCTCTTGACAGGCATCATACGTCAGAGGTTTTGTCCAGGATTTCCTCAGAGATTCTTCATCCCTTTCGTGGAATTGATTGATTTGAGCGCTTGGACAATATTCACTTGCAAAACTTTGATGACGCGAATTTTCCACGAAGGCCCATTCTAATCAGTGCTGGTCTCGGCCCTGACCAATTTTTTTGGTCGACCTCTTTGACGGCAGTAAAAGAAAAAGTGGATCATGTTTTGTACGGCCAACACTCAGGATGCCACCTGTCGCAGGGGATCCCAGGGAGCCATCAATCCTCGTCGGAAATAATTTCGCCTGGCGTCTATTAATCCTTCTTCCGTCCATTATCTAATTATCTCCCCCTCCCGTATTAACCTGGACAATCCGGGAGCGGGGAGTGATTGAAAGCCGAGAAACCCCGCTCTTCTTCCATCAAATGAATTTGTTTTTCCTCGAGCCACTCCCGATCTACCTAATACCCTCTGTCACCCTGCCCCATAGTCTCACCTAAATTAATGGGAGAAGCTGGTCTGTGTTTTTCCACTCGAGCGACCAATAGAGGGAACATGGAGCTTTTAGCCGTCGCCTGTTAATGGAAGAACCATTGTCCTCTTCCTCTTTTCCACCTGCTCGACAGTGAATCAACGATTGGACTTCTCCCTTTGGAGCCGAAGTTCACTGTCCTCGATACTTGCATTCGGCTTTGGACAAGGGAAGAACAAATTGTGTAGACCAGCTTGTATGAAATCGAAATCGGTTGGAGATTTTATTATAGTCAAGCGAAAGGGAGAAAAAAAAGGAGTTTCATACTGTATAAGATAGATTCCATCATCTTAGGTTTCCAAAAGATTAATTTTAATCCTCTGATTCGCTGAAGCGGAAGATGCAAAATAAATGACCAGGTGCACTTGAGATGGAAACTCATTAGAGGTTTACTGGTATACCTTTCGAAATATCTTGTTGATTAAGTTTTTCATGGAATCATATAAAATCCATGATATTTTAAACACCTTACTCCTAAGTAGCTCAGGGAATTCTTTTTCCGGTCGAAATCGATGTCTACCTAGAGTATTAAACAAGTAGAGGATACTCCTACCATAATATGCATTTATTTATTGCTCTGCAGGAGTTGTTCAGCCGGGGATCGCAGAGTCTGTTCAGAGCGACCCAGAGACTGGCCTTCTTCCGGTCGGTTGAGGTCCTGCTGCCCGAGCACTGGGAGGCGAGGGAGTGTGGCCTCACCAACGGGCACATTCGAATGACGTCATGGCGTCGGAGCCAGGCCAAGGGCTTCCGGGTGGGGACGCTTCACCCGTCCCCGTTCACCTTGCAGCCTCACTCGTGTGGCCTCCCCGGCGAATACGTATACCTCCCGCTGGAGTTTATCCGAGGCGCCAATGCATCCCTTCACGCCGGTGAGCGACTTGTTCATGTCGTTCTATTCAGATCTTCACCGATCAGTCTTACTAGATGTGACAGGATTGATTTTTCTTGGCATAAGATAATAATGCTCGAGTGAATGTTTGCCGTGTTTTGAGACCCAGAATAGGAGAACTTACCCCTCGTATTCTAAGTGCCCCTCGATTAGTACTAGACGAGAAGACCTGATCGAGTGAAGATAATCCCAAGTACAAGCTTGAAAAAAGACATTTTGATACGAGCGGAAATATTGAGTAAACTTCGGATAGATTATGTTATTCCGATTACGGAAAAATGTAGATTAACGGAATAGAAATGAACATACTAGCCCCTTGTCACGAGAGCTCGTGCCAAGGTCGGTCGTTAGTAATTGATAAGCCGTAATCCAGCTGCCCATCTATATCTAACGACTACGGCCCAGGTCGATGAGCTCGCTTTACATTGTTCACGATGATCCCACATAAACATTTCATATGTCACCAGGGAAAAAAAACAGCTCGATTGTTTCGTTCCCAGACCGAGTTCTGGTGAGAGAATGGTCCAAGTTCCGATACGGTGCATTTGATGAAACTGGGTTCCCCAACGATCCATTGACATCGACTTCGTACCAATCCTATTCCGAGTCGGGACTCGCGGAACCCGAACCCAGCATCTGCACGGACAAGCAACTCACCGTTACCAAGTGAGTTTCAAATTATTTTTATTGCAAACTATTAGTGCCCTTTGAGAACGTTATGAGCACATTAATTTTTCTGCAAATCCACCTTTCACTGGTTATTTTCGTGGTCGGACCTACATCTGTCACGCTGATTTCCTAATGAAGGGACTATATGATATTTCTCGTCATGGTAATGTCGCCCTGCTTTCCATTAGGGGTCGAAATGAGTCATTTCTCACATAACTAATGAACCGGGAGAAGACTCGTAAAATCCCAGTTTCAAGGACGGTTGTGGCTTCACACACCCTAACGGTTTCTTTTTCTTCTCTCTAATCTGGCATTGCGATGAATATTCAAGGCAAAGAAGAGGGACCAGGTGCGTTTGACACGGGAATTCCTCCGACCGTACTGACACGTACAAAAGAGTACTCGCCCTAGGGCAGCGGTTAAGGAGAGCCTGGGAATCTTGGTTTTTTTTTTAACGAAGACATTTGTATGCGCCATGAAAAGCCGAGGGAAGAATGGGTCTGGCCAGGAAAATGATGCTTTTAACGTCCCCGCTTTTCCCTCCCTTTCTTCTCTCATCTTGATCTGAAGACTCCCGGCCTCCCATGCACCTTGCAGTTTTCGGCTCGCCCAAGCATATGATATATATGCTTACGACGAACGAAGGTTTTGCTTTCCATTTTCATTGCTTTTCCCGGTTTTGCTCCTTTTTCTTTTTTTTTAATCGTTATTATTTTAAATATAAATGTTCTATTTCATGTTCTATTTTTGTTACATACTCCCATTTCGATATTCCACGAAGCTGTTTTTTCTCAGATGAAGGACATGAAGGAAGCTGGAAAATTGGAAGTTTGCAGCTCTTCTTATCCTTTCTGACCCACATATAGATATTGTTCCCGTATTCCACTCCTATGATCATCTTTACCTCATCACAAACTCGGGACTATTGAGGCTGAAGCAATTGATCGAGCGGCAATGACGGTGGCATCACGCTCTCGATCGTCCTCGGCGATAGCTGCCGGGACTGTCGCACTTATTTGCTGGTGCTCGAATCATGTTTGTTCAGGAATGGTGCTTATAATTACTTATTAATCGTGGTTCTTTTAGGGCATCAAGCATTAATGCTATTTATTCCCAATATGCAAGGGCAAAAACGGTAACCCAAGCGACAAACTCCAACAGGATAAGAATGATCAAATATGCCTCCAAGACTCATAGAAAGAACTTCTTCGAACACGGAGGGTTTGCTCGAGTCCACGAGAAATAACGTTGATAGTCATTTTCGTTTGTCTAGTGTGGCAATATAAGCTGGTCTTGATTGTTGGTAATCCCCCCACAACATTATCAGACGCGAAGGAATGAATGGCTTTGGATGCTCTTGGAAATTTCCCCACAATCTCACTCCCACAACGGCGTGTGCATTGTTAGCTCTGGGTCGAAGTACATTCTCACTCCAACTCCTATCATCCTCTGGAGAGCTCGAATCACAGAGAAGACGACCTCCGGTAAATGGAAGAAAGAAGGGAGAGCCACTTAGAGTGGACTTCATCCTGAATGAGCAAGAAAGCCGGGAGAAATTCCCAGGGAGCTCCCCTCACGAATCCTTGTTCTTCTCATTAGGGATGTCTAGTAGCGTTTACATAAGGGACCGAAATGGCTCCAAATCCGGTCCCTATCCTCCATTTTTCTTCATTTGGGCTAAGGAATTCCTAATCCCTACCACCACCAATGTGGGTGGCATCTTTGTACGTGATGTGGGGTGCACGTGCCGCCGCATATCGTTGGTGGTGTTTATTCCCTCGGGAATATAATAAATTTGCCAGATTTGTTTCCCATATGCAGAGCAATCGTATTGACGAAACAAATGGATACCCCACCTTGCCGGTAACGTTGCTCCGTATTTCTGCATTATGCATCCTGTCTCCGACATAATCGCTTTCGCGTGATCTCGAACGGATCGGATAGGTCTACACGCCTAGGAAAGGGATGAATGTAGGGTGTAATGGAGTGCACAAGCAGCCCTCGTTTTCGAGAAGGGAGAATGTGTTTTTCCGTGAGAACGTCCCCACCCCGGCCCGGGTCACGAATCTTGTTTGTATCTTTCCTCCCCCGCCTTCTGCATGTATATTGTATGCTCACGCCACATGACTCCTCTCACGAAATGCGCAACCCACTTTCGCGAGATCCATCAACCCCGCTATATATATACGTCTGACTGGCGACGGACGAGTCTGGGTTTGGCATCAGCACACACCGTACGCAGCCACGCCTCGGCGGATCGTCTCGAACTTGATCTTGAGGAACCCTGCCGATGCGCCCTCGTCATGGCATACTTTCATATGTCGAACAGGAAGATCAGCTGTATCGTAGAAAGTGAATAAGATGAAAGGCATTAAGTGAAGGAAATGACATGAATTATGAATGAAATCAAAAGAATTTTAATAATGTGAAATTAAATATTGAAAATTAAAAATAATTATGCAATTTTTACTTTATCAGATGAATGAAAAAATAACATGAAAGAGAGACCTAGGAAGAGAAAAATATAACCAGACGAGGGTGAAATAAATCCTTTCTAATTTTGTTCAGCTTTAATAAGAGTTTTTTGCACGTGGCGTGGATCTACGTTTATGCCTCAGTACTCTCCTAAGCTGGGAACACCAAGAAAGGTTTCATTAAACACCTCCTCATGAGTCTGGGTTACGAAATTTCACGCTGCAGCGATTGTAATGAGAGGAATCGCGTCGCACTAATTGTTATACACGGTTGTGACTATGTGGTTCTATGCGGAAGTTCGTGCGGATGTTATCCTCAAGGCACGATTCTGAACCTGATAGGAGCATTCTTCCGAACGTTCATTTCTTGCTCATACCAATTTGCCGTATAGGCGCTATATCGTACGGTATTGTCTTTCGTCTCGCATATTGCTGAGAGTGGCGAGAGTGGTAGAAAATAAGCGCGGGAAGGCATTGACGAATGCACTCATTTTTGTTGGACTCTCGCATCCGGACAGAGATCGATGGCCGGGAATCGAGGACATCAGAAGTTCCGGGGCTGTGTTCTATTAAAATCTTCGTCTTGTCATTCGGAAATTGCTCAACTTCGGCCATGCATGAATGCAGCAAGCACCAGTTGAGCTCTTTGCCGAGAGGGAAACGGCACTTAAGCAAATAATAGAATACGGCCCCAGGTCTCCATCGTAGAGAAGTGCCCCTCTCCTAACCTTGGTTTTCGGTACATTGAATGTTCGCATTGTGAAAGCGTGAAGATGTGAGGGGGAGGGATCCCGCATCCTTCAGTGCATTCCTGTGCAGGCTTTTACGCTCACGTCACTCTCTGAAAGCCGCATAGAAGGAAGGTCGGGAGGAATATTCTTATAACGATGAATTGGTATGAGGATATGGTATTTCTTCCTTCCTTCTATAATGGTTTCGTGTTGCCTGTCTGGCCGTGCGGCTGGACGGGCCCCATGTATGGTCCGTCTCGTATGGTATGGATATTAGTTCCATATTTCTTGAGGGTGTGAGTAATGTTCAGTCTGACGCATCACCTCTTGGCAAACAGCTACAATGAATTTCCTGGGAGACTGGACGCGAAGAATATGACAGACGATTACCCAATAATTCTCCGAACTTCAGCTTTTCTACAGCTATTTCCATACAGCGAAATATTATATGGAATCTCAGGTGAAACATTGGATCGTGCAGAAGACACGTTAGGTTGTTCCCCCTCCCCCGTGACACTCAATATCTTCTGCTTCCCTTCAATGTTTCCTTTGTAACCCCCATCCCCAGCGTTTCGTCTCCTCGTCTGGGGAAAGAAAAACAAATCAGGAACGAAAGGGGCGATGGTGAAAGGCGACGAGGCATAGAAGACTGTGCAGATGCCCGTCTCATATGACGCAACCGCACATGGCGTTATCGCACAGGGAGAGCCTTATTTACCTCCCTTAAACCGGGGTTTGTTTCTGTTTGGTGGGCACGTGGGATGCCTATTCGCCGGCAGATGACACGGTCTAGTCTGGAAAATGTCTTTCCAATGGAGAAAGAACCCCCATTTACAGGAGGGGATCCGGTTACCCCTGTTTATCCAGGATCTCGGAATTGCAATTTTTGTTTTTCTTTTTAGGGCTTGCACCGAAGGGGAATGCCGGTTTCGGGTCCGGGACGAGGGGAACGAGGAAGTCACGGCTTCCTTGATGGCCCTCCCACACCTTCCCAATGTAAGACGCTGTACTTCTTCCAACGTGAAAGTTTAAGATTTTGCATTATTTAGCAATTTAAAATCGTATAAAACCGAGCTAAAAGGAACGATAATATCAAAGATAAAATAATAAACATCTAGAATATGAAGGATGCCCCATAAAGAGGAAAAGTGAAGAAAAGATTTGAGATTTAAAGCAACCGTGATGCTTTTCCTTTCCTCGTACTTCAATGATTTGCGAAACGTACGGTGATGTGAAGTTCAAGTTTATCAGGAAGTAATCAATATTTTTGTAAATATCAAGTACGCTTTTGAATGGAACCAAATCTGACCCGGCTTTCATCTTCCCCTCCCTTATTTCTTTCTCATAGGTTGAACATTATTGTGACGACTCGAACCACAAGGAAGAAGCTCCCACGAGGCACAACATCCTCTGCGATGGACGAAGCACGTGGGATGTGGTCAGCAAGAATGCCGACTTTCTCGGGTCCGTATTTCCTCTGCATCTATGCTAAATTGGGTTCGCAGACATTGAAAGCTGATGAAGGGCTGGTTGCGGGTGGTTCAGGATGGTAGAGGGTGCTTGTTGAAGAGCCTCTGAAATTCTATTTGGGCGGTAAAAGCAAGACTTTAAAGGATGGGTAGAGGGCGACTATAAAGGACATCAATGTAGGTCATAGGAAGTTACGAAGTGCTCGAAGGTCGGTTATGTGCGCAGGTTTCGAGTGATTGCGGTCGGTTTTCGAATAGAATTTTGACCATGGCAAATCTTGGCCGGCCTAGAAGGCCTTCCGGGGGCCTGATACTTCTAAGAAGCTCCTGGTACTATGTACCATGTTGTATACTCGATGAGAAAATTGCAAAATGATGTCTCTCTCATCCTGCGAAAGGCACGTTGATTGCAGTTAATGACGATGAACCGGCGTTTATCCTCCCGACCTGTAATTAATGACGAGCCAGAATTCCCACGAAGAATCATATCATGGTTTTAAAAAAATGCAACCTAGTCATGTAAGATGTCTGGTATGTGTAAATTTTACATTAGAGAAGTTGGTATCATTCTTCATCACGGATAGAAAGAAAAATTCTTGCTCTCACGGGGGAAACCCCGTGAAACATTAATGAGAAGTAATCTCTTTCGAGCTCATCCCACTGGGAGTCCCCGAATTCCCTCCCTTTCTTATCGTCTTGAGCCAATTTCACCGTGATCATGGAAGATTCCCTTCTGTCTGGCCTTACAGAATCTCCCCTTCTGTGGCCAACGTGACTTCAACGGTCCCGACCTTCACTTTCACAAAGGCTTCACCACGGAAAGTCGTGTTCGTCCTTCAGGCCTCCAAGTCCATCGGCGCAATCAATGTAAGTGTAGAATCAATAACTTACGAAATATACTGCGTAAATATTAAAACTGAATTAAGTCATGAGGAAATGGAGAATTGAAGAAAAGTGGAATCGTTTAAATATATATATGGATGGGTTTTTCAATTATTTTATTAAATAATGCACAATACTAAATTTTCTTTTGAAGCATCAATCGGCTTGAAAAATGCAAATGAAAATCAGGGACATGGATAACTGTAAAAATCGAACGAAAAAATCAATAAGTAAGTAGAAAATAATAAGTAAGTAGAAAACGAAATTAATGGAAAACGAGAAGGTGGTTCGATGATACTGTCATCGGTGGGCGGCGCAATAAAAAGGTGGGATATGTGGATGACAGGGTCGCTGGGAATCGGTGCGGAGTGGGATCTACCGGTGGCTAGAGTTAGTGTCCTCTTCGCCGTCCCTAATGGTCGGCTTCGTCGAGTTCGCCGGTTCGCGGACGGTCAAGATGGAGCCGGTAAAGTCGGTGGGTCACCTGAAGCTCTCCTCCAAAAGCCTCATCTCTCGATATCCCTCAGACGAAGAGGACGGCCAAGATCATCCAGCTTGCATTCATTGCGCTCTCCGACATGCTTTCGAGGTCAGCACTTGATTTGATATGCCATTTACCTTATATTTTTCCCTTCCTTAGGCTTCAGGAAGACATAAGCAACTACAATGTGTTCGATTGTAAATATATAGAATGAATGAATACAGAAAGTATATAGAGCACTGTATGAAGTAGGAAAAATTATATTTTTCAATCATAAATGTAATACGTGATAATTTACTTCTTGCGCCACTGCAACAGCATCTTGAAAGGCTAGGCATCCGGCGATTCTAAAGTCTGGGAAGTGTCTGATGATACTTTAATGATTCAATGTGGTTGCTGAACAGCTGTTGAGCAGTGGGAGCGGAGGGGGGCCTGTGGGAGGGGAGATCCTCCTGATCGCCGAGGAGCAGCCGATGAACCCCAGAATCAACGATCAGGATCAGCTGCTCCAGCTGGTGTCTATGGAGGCCATCGACCGGGGTGTCGCCATCCACACCCTCTCCTTCCCCGGAACGGCGATGTCCGGATCCGGGTCCGGGATGACCCTGGAGAAGTTGTCGGAGGAGACGGGTGGCGTTCACCGAGGCCTAGAAGAGCACGGGTCAGCAGGGACCATCTCGGGCAGAGTCCCTGTTGCCAACATGGTTGAGGTCCTCGACGCCATTGAAACAGTCTTCCCAACTCTTGACTCCTTCAAGGTGAGTCACCGTCATTCTTGTCTTTGTGAGTAACCCAGACATCAAATGGAGACGAATCTCAGGACCTTGATATAACATCAAAGTTCTTGGTTGAAATTTTCACTCTAGCTATTCCATACTCAGAGAAGTTTTTTCTACTTTATTTTCGATTATCATTCTCTTTGAATTAAATTTAATGTTTGATAGTATCAATATCTTTTATTCGTTTGATATGTAGTCTTTAACTGTTCGCAGGCGCTAGATGAACATACTTCGCATGTGATAGAATGAGAAAGAGTTTGTGCTTCTGTATTTCATTTTAGATCTCTCGATTACATGAAAAGATGAAATAACCACATTATCGCAAAAGTTTCGATGAAAGCAGGATCGTAGTTCAGGCAAATATACAGGTATTTGCCCCTTTTAAACTTAATGTATTTGCTTTTTTTGTTACAAAAAAAGAAAAATATGGTCGTAAAGCCCGAAGGTCAGGAGTGGCCTTACAAAGGTGGTGATGAATGGGAAAAAAGGGGGGGGGGGGATATGGGATGGGAAAGAAAACTGCGATATGAGACAGGGATGTCGATAACGTCTGGATGCCTGAGACTGACAACCGCGAGGATTCCATCCATCAAAACGCCTCCCCTCATTGCCTATACTGCATCTAGGGACCATTGTGTAATGTAAAACGGAATGGAGCTTATACATTTCCTCCCTCCTTTGAATATCATCCAGGGAGGGTAGTTCTGTAATGTATGCAGATGGAGCCTGATGAGAGGGAGAATCAGAAGCCCCGTCGTCCTTCATTCGAGAAGCTTCTCATCAGCCATCATTTTATTAAAGGAATCCCATTTTCCTCCCATATGGCGTATTCCCGAGGACGCCGAAACTCATTCTCTCAGTCGAGATGCAGCCCGTATTCTGTGGGCTGGTGATGCCCATTTCGAAGAATAGGTCGTGTCTTTTTATCTCACGAACATGGCTCTACTGTCACTTCCTTCAAAGTACCCTTCTCGTTCCCTCGAGATCAATGTCCGACCTCTGAAATGGAAAAGCCTAGTGCATCGACCGTAAGAGATGAAATATACCGTAGAGCTATCAGCATTTATATAGGCAACAACCCTCTTTGATTTTCGCTGGAATGAGACGATTTAGAAGCACAACTTTATGTTCGACTTACATCAAGCAGGACTTACTACTTATAAAATAGATCCGCACAGAGTGGAAAAGGACAAGCATAACCTTGAGTTTACTTAACTTATGTATGAAGTAAGTATGTGTAATTGATAGGAAAGGAGTACCATGTGCCTTAGTGAAGCCTAGTTTGTAACTTTAAGGGGATGGATGAGTATGAAGTTGACATTAATTCGAGGAGATACCTCGTGGATGGGTCCTTTTATCGATCCCATCAGGACGAGTTCATTATCTTGACAGAGTCGGCTTTTTTAGTGAGGAACTCGTCATTGGACCGGATTCATTGTATCCCGGCATATAAGGGAAAAATGGCCCGAGATAAGATCTTGATCGAAGAGCAGGAATGACTTGAAGGGACGTTGACTTCTCTCTCCCGCAGCTGTATCGAGAAACGGGGTCTGGAACGGGGGCATCCCGGATCGCTGGGGAGTTCCTCACCGAGGCGGGATTGAGGGAACTCCAGATGCTCGTATACTATCCTTCCGAGGATCTGGCGCCCAAGAGGGTCTTGCTGCAGGATCCACACGGATCCACACACGATGTCATCGGGAGCCCGCTGGCCTCCCCCAACTACAACGCCGACATCCTCCGCATTCGGCAGTGGGACCCCATCCAGGTCTGTTTACGAACCAATAATAGAAACGGAAGAAAGTGAAATAGGAAATGGAAAGTTGCCTTATTTCATTTAACCATAGGGGAAAAGGAGCTAACATGTTTGCAAGTATGGGGGCTGCTCGTGAATGACCAGAAATTCCCTTAAGAATACGATTAAAAAGTTAACTGAAGTATAAAAGAAACCTATATACTAAAATTGTAGAAAAGGGAAGGACAAGCCATAGGCATTCCTGAGGGCACTTAGGGAAATTTCGGTTATCAGCCATCTGAGCCCTGCAGCTATCGAGTATATATATCTCGTGTGTGCTCCGGCAGAGTGAGAAAGCCTCTTGAGCATCGGTATACCACCATGACTGCTATTGAAATACGATCGCCCTTGAGCGCCACAAGTTGCCCTGATGAGAAGGGTCAAAGATTCTTTATATAGGTTATGACTCATAACATCGGTCGATGTTCCTACTGATATTCTGCCGATCCATCTGAGCTTATCGGGTAGCAGTCGATTTCCAGATCGTTCCGCCTTTAAATATGGCTACTGGAAGGACAACCAGTATTACGTTCCTCATTTGAGGATTCATGTATTTTCGTGACGAAATCAGGTCGGACAGTGGAGGTACGAGATCGAGACGGTGTCGGCAGAACCAGTGGTGATCGAGGTGCGGGGTTTCCCGTCGTCCCGGCGCGACGCGATCCGTGTGCGGACGTGGACGTCGTGGGACGGGTCCAGAAATCCGGATCCCAGGTCCCAACCCCTCATCCTGTTTGCCGAAGTGACCCGAGGGGGGAAGGTCCTCAGGGACGCCGTCATCACGGCTCACATTCAACGCAAGAGCCTCACCTTCACCGACGAACTCAGCCTCACCCTTCTCGATGACGGCATGGGAGGTATGACCCTCATTATCACATTCGTCCTCTACGTCCATCATTATATCTTTCGATCGCATGCTACTTAAGCTCCGTTAATTTGAGCCTAAATTAGACGGTTACTTAAATTTAATTTGATTTAATAACATTGTAAATTAGGTCATAAAATAGTTGTTATAAAATTTTTAATGCTTATTCTTAAGTATGGCAGCTTTTTTCACATATTGCCAGAGCTAGAATCGAATATGAATCTGCAATCCTTTAAAATATCTCCTAGAAAAGACATTATTATTATCTTTCTCGAAATGTGTACTTCATGATTTCCAAATCGATGTGAACATATTCGTACGTGGAGGATTAAAATCTCCCTGAACAGACAAGTGGTGTCTGACTACTTCTCGCATATCATCCTGTCCTAAATTCGAAAATAAAATGGATCTGTTGCGTCTCGTATCGCCCCGCAGACCCAGATATGATACGTGGAGACGGCGTTTACTCGGCATACTTCACGCACTTCGCCGGATCGCAGGCCAAGTATAGCATGAGTTACACGGCATCGGACGGGGGCGGAAAGGCTAGATACCTCCAGGGACAGGGCCAGAGGCCCTCGGAGGAAGTCCCCACGGGTCCCTTTCATAGGATCCTTCCCGGCCCCATCATTTTTGTCAGAGACCCTCCACTGGATGACATCTACCCTCCGAATCGGATCCTCGACTTGCGTGTACAACCAGATCCCGATGAGCCCTCGACCTTGGTCCTCACCTGGACCTCACCTGGTGCCAACTACAATCATGGACGAGGTTCGTTCGTTTGTCAGCTACCAAATGACTTCTTAATATCGACCTTTCGTTACCGATACGATCGATCGATTTCAGACTATCACTTGAAGAGAGGTAACTCTTATCGGCATTTTTCTGCTTCCCTTTTCTTACAGCCGATCGTTATGAGCTGCGCTATGCCGCAGACCGGTCGAGCCTCAGATCGGAGACGTTCCCGTCGGCAAAGCCTGTAAGCACGTCCACCCCACTACCGAGAGGCTCTCGAGAGGAGTTGCGGGTGGGGGTCGGGGAATCCGGCCTGGACTACGATCGCGTCTTTTACTTTGCCATCCGTGCATTCCACGGTCGCTGGAGTCGGGTTTCCAACGTGGTGAAGGCAAGGTTGCCCCCACCTCCGGCACCGCCCACCACGGTCCCGGCCTCTGTACTCCGCGGCGAGGTCTCATCCGGAGGTCAGGGTGGGTGGGCGGTGGCACGGGACGAGACCGCCGTGGGAGGAGCCGGAAAACACGCCAAGCTGATCGTCATCATCGGCGGGTGCGTGAGCTTCGTCATCGTCCTCACCGTCCTCGTCCTCTGCGTCACCATCTGCGTCCGACGTCGCCAAGAGAAGAAGCAGGATCCCAAGAGTCCACCGGAACCGAAGAGCAAGAGCCCCGATGTCATCAGTCCCGTTTCGTCGGAGAAAGAATGGGGCGTGAACGTGACCAAGAACGGGAGCCCCGAATTCGTGGCAGCCTCGGACATCCTCGGTCATCATGCCGGAGCCGACCTCACGCTGACCCCTTATCACATGACCAAGGACGAGAGCACGAGCACTCCCCTCTTGCCCGATCACCTCTCCTTCACCTATCAGAGCTACGACATCGTGGGGAACCCGCCACCTTATTCCCATCCGGATGGGAGTTCCTACCATTCGGTGTCTTCCGTGGATCAGCTGAGGTCCAAGTACGTGCACTTTTCTCCGAACACCCTCGGGGCACCGCCGGTGCCCCCCAAACCCAGCCTCTACGGCTGCAGATCCTCCGCGGACTATTGTGGCCTGAACGAGTCGCAATCGTCGGTCGGCAGCTCGGACCAAGGAGGCAAAAAAGTCAGAACCGTCACCCAAGTATGACTTCGTTTTCACGCTTTCGTTTGTGATATGAGTTGCTCGACTCGAGTGTTCTCTAAATTATCAAAGCAGTTTTTGTCTGTCTCCGTCGACTGTGATTAATTTTTGGGAGGAACGTCGTGAATGCAGTGTGCGAGTTTTTCTACGAATCGGTGTGAATCTCAGGTATGGCGAGACCAAATTTCATTCATGATCTCAGATATCGGCATGCCATTCGCTCGTGTCTTGTGTTGTGCTTGGCTATAATCCTGACTTGAATAAAAGCGCCGTTTCTCTCTACTCCCCTTGTGAGTTTTCTCGAAGGGAAGAAAGGTCGAGGGGACCCGGTAGAATTTGCACGTGGTTGCTCTTAAAGCAGAAATGGAATGAATCCGACCGGAGAAAGAGGGCGATCACTGCCAACATACTTTTAACTTTAAAATTAGGTGGATAGGGTGCGATGAGTCGTGAAAGAGGGACATTATATAGGACTGGGAATCGCAGCCAATGAAGATGTCGTTAAAAAGTTTCCATCCTTTCTTGATTTTTTTTTTTACCACGAAAAAAAACACGTTTTTTTTTGTTTTTTTTTTACCACGTTGGGCCAAGGGTGAATTGAAAGCGAGCTTCAGGGTCTGATGGCCCCTCGGGTTGGACTGCATCGCCCGTTCCCATATCTCTCATCATATCGTCATGTCATGTCTTCGATACGACTGCGCGGCAAGCATACGAAATCGTGGGAAACTCTTGCGGCCTGTCGAGATAAAGAATTCCGAACAGCGGAAAGAATGGGGAAGAGGCTCTTGCGGCGGACCGTCACCGTCGACGTCACGAGAGAAACGGTGAGCACAAACGAGAGTGTAATCCTCATGCATGGGAATGGCTCTCTGTATGTCTTCTGGCCGGCCGCGACGTGGATCGCTCGAGATGGACCGTCCCGGCTTCCACCCGTCACATTCATATATAGTCGGGTGTCACATTCATATGTACCCGGGTGTCACACATATATACCTAGGCGTCACATTCATACATGGCTCGACGTCACATTCGTATATATCTCGATGTCACATTCATATGCACCTCGGTGGCACGTTCGTATATACTTGGGTGGCACGATCGTTTGTAACTTGGCGTCCCATTGACCCCTTCCTCCTTCCCCGGTTCTCGCCGTATTCGAAGACGACCGACGATGTCCCATTCCCAGCGGTCCAACGTCACCCTTTCCGATCCACTCCCGCTCTTTTACTCGCAGCCGACCGTCTCCGAAACGGGAGAAAAAGTGAGGAAGAGAGACCCGAGACCGCTTCGACGCTCGGTACGGAAAAGCCTATTCGTGCATTCTCCATGACCCCATTCGTGGTCCCATCGTGGCCCCATCGCGGTCCCTCGTCCTTGCTTTTCTTTCCTGCCGATATCCTTCGTCGAACGACAATCGGCCTCTTCTTTGTCCTCGGGGACGCCCTATGTTTGTTGCCGACCGGAGATCGGATTCGCCCTCGGAAACGCGATCCTTCCCCGCGGACCCCGCCGTACGACACCTCGGACGAGGGGGAATAAGACACCAGAGAGGAAGGCTGCTCATCCGAAATGCAAGGAGAGCCTGTAATTAAAGTGTCGGACTCGGGAAATGGACGAGGGAACGGGAAGGGACCTCTTTCATAAATATCGCACACAAGACACTAGTCCGGCAGAATGCTCCGTAGCCCGTGGCTCTCTCTCTCTCTCTCTCTCTCTTTCTCGCTCTCTTCCTCCCGAGGGGAAATGCGTGGAACAGTTCCTTTCTTGTCTTTTTTTTCTTTCTTTTTTATCTGGAGCTTCCCCTCCGGGCCGACGCTTTCGGGGCCGCGGGGATTCGCGCCTGGAATTTAATTCTCTCCAGCGCGAGAGAACATTTCTGGGCTCGGATCGAGAACAACAAAAAAAATTCGCCATAGTTTCGTGGAGCCTTTCGAGACGGCGTGGGATGCCGTTTTCCCCTTTCACTTCGCCACTCTCATAGGGAAAATACGCTCTCGCTCGTTATTGAATTTCTTTCTTCGGTGATGGGGTGATGGGTTCCCTCGGTGAAAAATGAGATGAAGCGACGCTGAGGAAAATGACGCAATCAGCTTTTCACTCTATGGGGCATCTTCTTTTCCCCTCTCTCTCTCTCTCTCGCTCACTCTCTTTGGAGGCATTTTAATGAGTTCCAGAAGGAAAAAGAGGAACCGGGGATGCATGCATGCATGCGCCATTATGCATCACATTCTTTCCCTTTTTCTTCTTCTGTGCGATGATTCGGAAGATGACGGTCCGCGTGAATCCGTCTGGAGGGTCCCGGGGGAAGGGGGGAAGGGGGGGGGGGGGGACTCCGTCGCGTCCCGAGGGACTCCATTACGACTCGGGGGACTCCATCATATCCCGGGGGAAGTGAAAGGGAAACCGGTTTGTGCACGCCCAGAATCCTCTTTCGTTATTCGCGTTTTCCGTTTCGTCTCTCGTTTCCGGTCACGCTTCGGCGTGCACGAACCGATAAACGAATGCGTAAGCCTTTAAATAACACTTAAAAATGAAAGTATTTAGAAGCAAAGAACATAAAAATTAGTGAGAGACAAGGCAATATTTTAAGGGCGGGTCATGTCCCCGCCTAATTACGATTATGGCTGCGCATACGAATACAAACGTAAAGAAGGGGGAAAATCCAGCCCGGTCGGGTCTCTCTCACGAGCCTCTCATGAGCCTCTCATGAGCCTCTCATGTGTCTCTCATGAGTCTCTCATGTGTCGCCGAGAAGAAAATAAAAAAAAAAAACCGCGACGGTTCCCGAAATGGAAGAAAAATCCTGTCTCGAACGGAGCGAGACGAGGATGAAAAATGCTAAAAAGAGGAATAATCAATCGGATTTGGAATATGTCCTAAAGGGAATGCATGCATTATGCACCCCATCGTTTTGTTTCCGGAGGAGAAAACGCCAAATTGGGCAACATTATTCAAATGACATGAATTAAAGATGAGGGATCATTCCCTCCGACAGTAATTAACAGCTCGGGGAAAGGTTGATCTATGAATGCATGGGGAATCCGCTCCGTTTAATGTATGCATAAGGCGAGGGGATATATTAGGGGATGAGTGATAAAGAGCGTTGTCGTGAGCCCCCCCCGACTTTTGCCCTTTATTTTTTATTTTTTTTTTAAAGGTCTGACCTCGGTTAATTCGATAGAGGCGGAGTGACCGGCATCCTTCAACGCGAGATCTCGAGATGAACACGTTTTCCTTCCCGTCTCCGCCCACGCCGACAACAACACTAATTTTTTTTTCCAGATGCGAATAAACGGGGAGATACCATCGTCTTCATTTTTTTTTTTAGTTTTTTTTTTTTTTTCCCTGGTATTAATGAGATTCTCTCCGGGGCATCGGCATTCCTTTCTCGGTCCTTCACGCCTCAATAATCCACGCATAACATCTTTTTTATTTATATTATCAGATGTTTGTTTTGCCTCTTTCGGTCCGCTCGGAGAGACCTAATACATCACGACTTCATTTCCTTTTCTTTCTGAGGGGGGGGGGGTGGAGAAGGGGATATTTTTTTTTTCGTCGGGTTTGTTTTTGCTCGAATACGAATTGGATGATCACGAGTCCGTGCGAGATGGTTTTCCACGTTCCAGATGCCACAATTAGGGTATTCCAGAGCCATTAATCTGTAGCAGAAGATGATGAATGGAAGGAGTCCGGTCTGATGGATTCCGGACGTCATAATTGGAAACAGGAAACCCGGGAGACTCATTAATTATCGCGGACCGTGATAAACAGATAAAAAAAAACGCAGGGAAAGATATCATTGCTCCTTGGCCGATCCGTTATTTTCCGCACGTAACAGATGCTCAAATTATTTCCAGCGTCTGTGTTGTTTTTTTCCTCTCGGTGTGGTCCTGCCGGTTCTTTTCGCTTAATGTGCCCTCGGTTGTGTACCTGGCATTTTATTTTTTATCTCGTGACGTTGAGAAATGAAAATTGATGAATCCCGGGGAACGTTGTGAACGAGGCTCTTCATTATAGAAACGTGATGATTATGTCGAGTCGAATTCGGACGGACGATTTAGAAGGAAAATAACACTTTCCCTTCCGTTCGTTCGAATCCACGCCACGTTTCTCGCGATGGGAGTGGAAGTAATAAATAAAAAAGAAAAAAAGAAGAAGAAAGAAGAAAGAAGAACCAGTTGAACTCGTGCTTCGGGGAGCGAAACGAGAAAATTGGATTCGAAACCGATAATCATCCGTTCGATTCGCGCTCTGCTGAGGAAAAGAAAGAAAAAAAAAAGGAGTTGACAGTGGGTGAAGAGAAAGAAGGCAGCGATTACCTTACGATGCGATGTCGTCTCCTCCTACGTGGTCCGAGCACTGCCGGGCAGTGTGACGTCCGACTCTCCTTAGGGCAGGTGCAACCAGGTCGAAGGGGGTGGAGGAAGGTCCATGGAGGTAGAGGGAGGTCGAGGGGGGTGGAGGAAGGTCCATGGAGGTAGAGGGAGGTCGAAGGGGGTGGAGGAAGGTCGAAGGGAGTGGACTGGGACCTTTTCCTGCTCTTCCATCTCGTCTCGTCGAGCTAGGATTTCAGCGAGGGGAACAGGAAACGGATCGAGATGTTAATACTTAGGGGCTTTGGGGGGATCGGAGCCCCTTAAGCCCCGATTTTAACCGTTTTTCGGATCTCATCGGGATCGTCTCGCCTCAAACAGACCGGGAACTGCTTAGACTCGTGTTCCGTCGGAGTCGTCGGCGTGGGAATGCGAAGCGGAGGAAGCACGGTATCCGCATTCGTCTTTGCTTCTCGTCGGACGATATCGGTTTTCCAGGCCCCTTCCCAGTGCCTCCCAGGCCCCTTGCCAGTGCCTTTCAGGCCCCTTCCTGGTGTCTCCCGTGCCGGTCCCGATGCCGATCCCTCGTGTCGTGTCGTGCAGCTGGATTTCCTCGCGAACGGGAAAGGGAAGAAAAATACCGGAAGAGTCGTTAAAAGGATGAAGGAAGGGGAATCCGGACGTCCGGACGTC